AGTTTCTAGTGTTTAATTAGTATGTTGCAAATGTTAATAGATGGGGTTATACCAGGGGTCGGCAACCTTTCAGAAGTGGTGTGCCGAGTCTTCATTTCTTCATTCTAATTTAAGGTTTTGCGGGCCAGTAATACGTTTTAACATTTTTAGAAGGTCTCTTTCTATAAGTCTATAATATATAACTGAACTATCGTTGCATATAAAGTAAATAAGATTTTTAAGACGTTTAAGAAGCTTCATTTAAAATTAAATTAAAATGCAGAGCCCCCCCGGTACGGTGGCCAGGACCCGGCAGTGTGAGTACTGCTGAAAATCAGCTCGTGTGCCACCTTTGGCACACATGCCATAGGCTGCCTATCCCTGGGTTATATTAAGTGAAGTGGACACATTAGCAAGGATAGGCAGCAATTTGCTGTATTGTTGTTTAAAGTACAGCATGTAAAAACAAAAGCTTCATGGGGCACTTGGTCTTGTATGAATTTTTAAGAGGCTGATACAAAGAGATTGATCCTTTTGAGAAACCCCCTAGACCATTTTGTCCAGATACTGACTTTCTGGTAAGGTGGCAGAGACATTTACAAGTATTGATCTTACAACTTACCATGGTGTACTTCAGTAAATAAACATGGCTAAAAGGCATGCATAGACTCTGGCAGAATCATGCAACCTGCAAGGCAGAGAGTGCTCCTCTTTAAGAGCTCCTGACTCAGCAAGTGCTCCTCAGTGGAACAACTGGACACACAAAGTGTGACAGTGAACACCTCTGGTGCCTATTGATTCACCACTGCAGGGATAACGGGGTACAGTTTACTCTCTGCTGGGCCTAAGGTGGTAGTTGCAATGGACAAAGGGATGCTTAGAGGGATGCACAGTCAGATTGGCAGTAATTCTGCCACTGTGCTGCTGGGGTTTAACCATTGGAGAGCAGCTTTTATTTTCATCTTGGGCTCCCTAGGACCCCAACGCACAGGACTCCACTATCAAAAGCTGCCTGAGAATGTACTGAATCAGTGATGTAATCAAAATCTGCAAGCAGGACACTTGTTATTGTAATTGATGCATCAGGTCACAGGACTTCTCCTTTTGATGTAAAAGGTCAGTTTCCTGTCCTATCATCTGCATTCCTCCTGACTGGCTATATAGTTTACTTCTAACAGAACTTTCATCACTTAAATTTCTGCAAATATATGTCAGAAAGCAAAGCACACACACAGGAACTAGTGGTGACCTGACTGACCCTTAGTTGATCATATCACACTTTCTGCAATAAATATGTGCAACTTTCAACACTTTCTTTTAATTTCATCTTTGTTTTTGTCATTCATGATTCAAAATCCATGGACTGCTAAACTGGGAAGGTTCTCATGGCTGGTAAAAATAGTCAGTGACATAACTATTAGCCAGGAAGAATAAGTGATTGCTTCTGGTGTTTAAACTTTGTAATATTTAGCACACAGGCACTTGATCTGGAAACTGTGCACATGCTTAGCTGGCTCAGGTGGTTGGCTATTTTTAGCAGGGCAGTTTTCTAAAAATCTGGAAGCAAATTAGAAAACAAATGTGTTTGTAAATAAACAAACAAACAAACCCACAGCCAGGAGCCACTGAAATGGGAGTTGTGCAAAAAGTTGAGCAAATCAGAGAAATTGCTCCTACAGTAAGGGTCCAGTCCTGAGAGGTCCAGAGAACCCACAACTCCCATTACAGTAAATGGGAGGTCAGAGTGTTTAGCATCACATCAGAGGTGTTCACCGTCACACTTTGTGTGTCCAATTGTTCCACTGAGGAGCACTTGCAGAGTCAGCGCTAAAGGTCCAGGTTATGTTCAGTTAGATTCTTCATGACTAGGAACAATAAGATTAACTGTTCTTTTCATTTTAAATGCAATTGTGATGTTTTGCACTAAGTGGGCCAGATTTTCAAAGTGACCAGCACCAGCAGTTAGAGCCAGATTTCCAGAAGAGGTCAGCATTCAGTGTCCTGAATCTTCTGAGGATCTGGTCACTTATTTTGGTGCCTAAATGGGAACGGAACTTTTTTGAAAATCTGCCCTATGAATTCTGTCCTGCCCCAATCTACACTAATGTTTACAGCTGGTTGGGAAACTATTATCCTGTGAAAACTTTTAACAAAAATTTTAAAAAAGCTTTTTAATTTTTTTCAGGCTTTTGAAGATGGCACACAAAGCCCTGGAAGGCAGGGCCAAGCTCTACAACTAGTGCATGATCAAAAGGTTGTACAATTCCCTGTTTTTCTAAGTCACATTAAATTATTCTGGGGGTAAAAATCCTAAAACATTTCCTTTTTGGTTTACAAACCTTTTACCTGAATCCTCAGGTCTTTATTCACTACACTTGAATGTTGCCCATGTAAGGACTGAATAAAACTGCGTAAAGAGTTCAGGATGTGATCCATGGATTGCAATATGCACAACTGTGACACGCACACAAATATTTATAAAAGGCTTTCATTTCAAAAGGGGGTGGAAGAGCACTTTTAAATATAACCAAGAATGATACAATCATCAATGTGTTTTCCACACACTGAGTCAGCTTTCTCACCGCAAAAAAATCTTTCAAATGGGGTGAAATATTCCAATTTAGTAATTGATGTTAGAGCAAAAATAGAACAAAACTCAAGAAAAGTATATTGCATTTGGCAAAATGCAAGCAATGAAACAGTTGCTAAAGAATGTTTCAAATAAAGAACACCGCCCCTCTTTCTCTTATATCCTCAATATTATGTGCCAAGTTCCTCGGGGTGGGGGAGAGGGGGTAAATAAAGAGATGTCATTGTGGTTTCACAATAGTTATGAATGCTCATGGAAGGCTAACACTCCCCCATCCAATCTGTTTATAGAGAGAGACAGAAAGAGTGCTCACTGGTATTCAATAACTTTGCAAGCAGTAAATTTAGTTCTCAACACCCTCATGTATATAATTTTTTGAGCATCCTTCCTTCTCCTACAAAGAATCTGGTGACAGAGAGTGAGAGCTGTCCACACACTTTCTTTGATGTGACAATTAACGGCCATGTTAGTTCTTCATTTTAAATTTCAGTTCAGTGGCCTGCCACCTGGGGTGAAAAAAGGTTGTAAATGAGGAAATGAATGGTCTCTAGTGGTCTGAAAACAGAACAGGACCCAGGGACTCTGACACATACTCACTCTTAGTGTTTACCATTTAACGTCTCTGCCTCAGTATCTCCTCCTAAAAAAGGGAGTCACTTTAATTACCTACTTCACAGGTTGTATGTTTGTAAAACCCACAGAAGGATGAAAAACATTATATAAGCAGCGTTCCTATGCACATATTAAATATGCTCATATTCCTTCCACAAAGTCCTCCTGGACCATTGCCTATTTGTCCTCCTTCGTTACCACCAACTTCAAAAGGCACGCCGTGATATCAATAATCTCATCTGGAGAAGAGCTAGATGCTGGCGTCTGCAGCACTTCAAGCCCTTGCTCTTTCCACAGCCAGAAAAGTGAGAGAACAACACGGCAGTGTGTTAGAAGCAAGCTGGTCTGCTTGTTTCTCAATATCTATTTTAACAGCTTTGATGTGTTTCTCCATTTAAAATAATGGACAGTAACAAGAATCACAAGTTGTGGTGATGATTCCCAGAATAACTCAGAGGGCCAAATCTCACTCACCTTACCCATGTGAACAGTCTCATCGAACTCAAGGGGGTTACTTCTGTGAATAAGGTAAACAGGATTTGGCCCATAAAACAAACTGATATAATAGGAGGCAGAAATATATCTCAGCTATGTAAAACTATAGACTCTGGCCCCAGTCTATCAAAGACCAGAGAGTAGGCCTACTGAAGTCCATGGGACGACTGATAGGCATAAAATTAAGTAGAAACACGAGCCTTTGCAGGATCAGGACTACAGAAAATATTTTTCCGGGTTTTCTGTTTTTATTTGCTTTTTCAGCAATCCAATTTTAAAAAGTAGGGGGAAATAAAGCAGTTATTTCAGCGTAAAGCAATCTGGGGTTTAGGGCCATCAGCTCTGTAAGTTCAATCACCATGAAAGATAATGGGAACTGAGTACGCACCTGATGGTAAAACTGAGCTCTTAGAATGTAAACATATGGCTACAATGCTATGAAAATGTAATTCTATTTATGGCTGGATCAAGCAGGCAATCACCAGTTGCATCTTGGATGGTTGGCCTTTCCTACTGCTTCAGCCTTAGATCTGGATATGATGGAGATACAAGGAGTAGTTCAAAACTATGCTGCTTGCAAGAGCAGCAAGAAGCACCAGAACCCCCTAGCAGCTAGTCAGTCTAGAATGTAAATGGTATCTAGGGGGAAACTAGGGTGAACTCAAATTTGGAGTTACAGTTGAGGAAGGTATGGGAGTCTTCTCCTACCTCCACCCACTAGACTATAAACTCTTTCATAGGCCTTGATCCTGCAATTGATAGTGCATGGGCAATGGGACTGTGTGGGTGAAACAGTCCACCTGCAGCAGCAGAGACTTAGATTATCAACTTTTTAGGAGATGGACCTTGTCTTCCTTTGTGATTATACTGAATCTAGCACAATGAACCCCCTTGGCTATTAGTAATATATAAATAGTAATAATAATGGTTAACCCTATAAATACTATGCTTACATTAGAGAACATGGACAATTTAAGTTGACAATATTGCTTAGGGAAACAGCACAATTCGTACAAACACAAAAGGACAACGTACAAGAAACAACACGCTGCTTCCCTTTATACAGATACTTTCAACCACATTCAAAAAAATTCGTAACAGTGGAATGGAACTAGCTTTGATTCTGCCAAGTAGCCTGCCTTGACAGGCTACATATTTCCTGATGTTGCTGCTCAAAAATTCAAACGTATATTGTGCTTGGACAAAAAATAAATAAAATATAATGTCTGAATCACAATAATAAGCAAAAAAAAAAAAATCTTACCTGCTTTTACAAAATGGGTGAGAGGGTCTCATTATAAAGGAATTCAATTGCAATAATTACCTTGGCATGTAAAGGACTCGCTCTGCCACCACAAACCCCACCCTGAAGAAGAGGTTGCTGGCTGGGATAAATGGGAAAACCAGGAACAACAAGCCAACTAAAACTTCTCTATGTTCCAGTTTCTGCAACAACACAATAGTGAAATGCATGTGAATGAAAAAGAAATCCAACTTCCAATCAACATTAAGTTGCCCCTCTTCCATTTTCAGATTCTTATTAATAAAATAAATTAATCAGATTAATGATTGATCAATGTACTGCATTGAAAACAGGAATTATTCCACACTGCAGTTCCTTACATTTACATATTGTTTGTGTATTGTACAGTTGACATACCCATAACACGTTTATTGTTTGAATTACACAAACATCAGATACAACACAGTGTGTATTACTCTTGGCAACATTTCTGAGGTCAGTTTTACTGTACATCGATATTTAAGATTGTAACTTTCTGAGGTAATTTACAGGCAATGTGCAACTGAAATATTATATATGAAAATAGTGGGGGTGTACACATAGACACACATGTCTGTGTTCAGTCTCAAGTTTTTACAATTAAGAAGTGACAGCTATATCTGTAATGTTCTGTATGAAGAAAATTAACCCAAAACTGCACATTAATATAGTCTTTTTATCCCTTTGGAGAAAATATCTAAAATTTTAATTATACTTTATCATACAAGATACTTATGTCCAATACAGTGTTCAACATTTGAGGCATTATGTACATTAATATTAATGTCTTTGGTCCATACTGCTGTTTTTAAGGTTTGCTTGCTATGAGTGGAGAAATGAAATTGTCACATGTGATTTTGTCAAAACTATTGTGATTTGCACAGCTGCTCCAAATACTGCCAGACTACAAAGGCCTCAGTCCTGATCTGGAGGGACCACAGCCTTTAGAGATGAAGGCTAATTCCATTTCTCTACTAGCTCCAGTCCAATTGGATGAATCAGTTTGTAATGTCTGCTGTTGCTCACTAAAGATCAAATTAAGGTAATCAAACTCACTATTTAAAAGCTGAGAATTTAGGTTTCTTTAGATGAAAGAACAGAATTTAGTTAGTTAAATCACCCAGTCTAGACATTTGTGCCTTCTTGTGCTGGCCAATAATACCCTAGTTTAATCAGTCGTTGTTGTACCATGCCTAAATGATGGGGAATTCATTCTGTGAGGTCTAGCTTTGTAACATTTAAAGGCAGAAGCAAATTGACTCACTTAGTCTTTTCAGCTTTTCTAATCATTTTGGTCTATTTCTCAGTGCTGGAGAGCCTATTTGCCTTACAAAGCTTTACATGAAGGGATCTAAAAATGGAAATATCAAACAAGGCCTACGTAGCAGTATGCAGCCCAGCAAAAGACCTAAGGCCAAATTCTGCTCTCACTTACACCAGTACAATCTGCTTTGGCACTGCACTGGTGTAACAGACATTGACCCATGGCTTAACAATAATTGCTAGATTTCATCACATATGCACTGTAAGTATGTTTATTGAGCATATAACACTTGCAGTGCTACAAACAAATTGACTGCAACGGTTCCTTATGTTAAGTGCCTAAGCTCCCCTATACAACAATACTAGCAAGTAGAAGTAAACACCACGTCAAGCACAAAACTGATTACTCTTCCCACAGACTCTACAGGACTGACCAGATAGCAAGTGTCAAAACTGGGACAGGAAGTGGGGGGTAACAGGTGCCTATGTGAGAAAAAAGACCCAAAAATCAGGACTGCCCCTATAAAATCAGGACATCTGGTCACCCGAGACTCTACCTTTTACAAAAAATTTAGATTAATGAAATTTGCAGTTACCACACTTCGCAAAACTTGTGAGAAATCTCTGAAGAAAGAACCACCACAGCACTAGCATGAATTGTGCAATGTAGGAGGAAGACACTTTTTAATTGGGGGGGGGGGGAAACACTGTCTAAATAAGTAACCAAGAGGAAGATGAGGAGTCTGAATTATAGAATTTTCCTTGTCACAGATGCAAGAGAAAGCAGTACGATATCACTACATTTTTTTAAAAAAAAGATCAAGTTGTTTTGTAAAATTTTTCATATTAGAAAAAAGTTCATTTATCAACAATAAAACTTTGTTTGAAAAATGCCAACCAGCACCAGTTGCCACGAAGATGTTGTACAATCACAAATGGGAGGGGAAGTGATCTGTGCAGCTGTCCACAGGATCGAAGGTGGTCCATGAGAACCTCTCCATCAAGATTTTTCAATTATGAAAAATGTTTGAGACCCACTGAACTAAGGTTCACAACTTCATTATAGGGAAGGGAAATCTTGTTATCCTCATTGAACAGATAGGGCACAGAGAGGTAAAGTGACTTGCCCAGGTTCAGAAAGGAAGCCAAAGGCAAATTTCGGCGTACAAGTCATATCCCTGGCCTCAGCTGTAAAAATACTCTCTAAAAACTAAAATGCACACTCATCTTACCCTCTTTTTAATACACTTAGACAGACACCACCACCATCCTGCAAGAATTTTGCATCGGGCCCGCAATAAAACATTATGAATTTGCTTTGTAGCCACAGCAGCAAAGTTAGATACACTGTTCACAGAGCTGAGACTGAGATCAGTCCATTAAGTTGATGAACAAAGAGATGTATTGTAAGGACATGGAATTACAAGAACAATCAAATTCCATTCAAACCACAGGAAGTAGAAAACAAATAAATTAAACGTACGTTGAATGGAAAAGGGTAAGATACATATATCAGTTAGGCTGAAGTGGGCGATCTAATCTCCTCACTTCTCTGTATAAAGTATCGCAGCGCTATCTGGATGCCAGGGAGCCTTGGTCATTCAATCCCTCTGGCGGGGTTCACAAAGAGTGGCAGAACAAGCATCTACATCACAGAGGGGCACAGCACATGTGCAAAAGAGCCCAGTGACACTAGTATCAATATTGTGAAAACACCATGCTGCTAGTTACTTCTAAAATAAATAACATTACTTGACAGCTAACAGTGCCCTTTTTAAGGAAGTCAGCTCAGGCTGAAGAGTTCATTGAGAGGCTGGTTCCTGAAGGCCTTTAGGTCTGAAAGTATTAAAGTCAATGTTATTTGACTCCATGTGAACTCTCGCTTTACAAGGCAAAACTTAGGGTCAAAATTCTATTAAACTCCTTTAAACTCTTCTACTCACTTGTTCTACCCTAGTGTTGTGGAATAACATCCCAAAGGCAGTAATGAATCAGTCTACTTTTCTGCAGAGGAACCAAAGAACATTTTTACCTCTCTGTCAGCATGGCAACAACAAGGAGCCTGGTGGTACCTTAAAGACTAACAGATTTATTTGGGCATAAGCTTTAATGGGTAAAACACCACTTCTTCAGATGCATGGAGTGAAAATTACAGATGCAGGCATTATATAATGACACATGAAGAGAAGGGAGTTACCTCACAAGTGGAGAACCAGTGCTGACAGGGCCAATTCGATCAGGGTGGATGTAGTCCATTCCCAATAACAGATGAGAAGGTGTCAATTCCAGGAGAGGCAAAGCTGCTTTTGTAATGAGCCAGCCACTCCCAGTCCCTATTCAAGCCCAAATTAATGGTGTTAAATTTGCAAATGAATTTTAGTTCTGCTGTTTGAAGTCTGTTTCTGAAGTTTTTTTGTTCAAGTATAGCTACTTTCAAATCTGTTATAGAATGTCCAGGAAGATTGAAATGTTCTCCTACTGGCTTTTGTATGTTACTATTCCTGATGTCCAATTTGTGTCCATTTATTCTTTTATGTAGGGACTGTCCGGTTTGGCCAATGTACATGGCAGATGGGCATGCAGGCACATGATGGCATATATAACATTAGTAGATGTGCAGGTGATTGAGCCTCTGATGGTGTTGCTAGAGTAGATATGGGGACAGAGCAGGCAACAAGCTTTGCTACAGGGATTGGTTCCTGGGTTAGTGTTTCTGTGGTGTGGTGTGAAGTTGCTGGTGAGTATTTGCTTCAGGTTGGGGGGGGAGGGAGGCTGTCTGTAAGCAAGGACTGGCCTACCACCCAAGGTCTGTGAGAGTGAGGGATCGTTTCCCAGGATAGGTTGCAGATCATTGATAATGTGCTGGAGAGGTTTTAACTGGGGGCTGTGCATGATAACCAGTTGTGTTCTGTTATTTTCCTTGTGGGACCTGTCCTGTAGTAGGTAATTTCTGGGTACCCATCTAACTCTGTCAATCTGTTTCCTCACTTCCCCAGGTGGGTACTGTAGTTTTAAGAATGCTTGATAAAGATCTGTAGGTGTTTGTCTCTATCTGAGGGATTGGAGCAAATTCAGTTGTATCTTAGGGCTTGGCTGTAGACAATGGATCATGTGACGTGTCCTGGATGGAAGCTGGAGGCATGCAGGTAAGTATAGCGGTCAGTAGGTTTCTAGTATAGAATGGTGTTTATGTGATCATCACGTATTTGCACGGTAGTGTCCAGAAAGTGGATCTCTTGGGAGGACTGGTCCAGGCTGAGGTTGATGGTGGGGTGGAAATTGTTGAAATCCCGGTGGAATTCTTCAAGGGCCTCCTTTCCATGGGTCCATATGATGAAGATGTCATCAATGTAGCGGAGTAGAGCAGAAGAGGGGCGCTAGGGGACGAGAGCTGATGAAGCATTGTTCTAAGTCAGCCATAAAAATGTTGGCATACTGTGGGGCCATGCAGGTACCCATAGCAGTGCCACTGACTTGAAGGTATAAGTCGTCCCCAAATCTGCAATGGTTGTGGGTGAGGACAAAGTCACAAAACTCAGCCAACAGGTGTGCCATGGCCTCATCAGGGATACTGTTCTTGAGAGCTTGTAGTCCACCCTCATGTGGAATATTGGTGCAAAGAGCTGCTACATCCATGATAGCCAGGATGGTGTTTTCAGGAACATCACCAATGAACTGTAGTTTCCTCAGAAAGTCGGAGGTGTCTCAAAGATAGCTAGGAGTGCTGGTAGCGTAGGGTCTAAGGAGAGAGTCCAAATAGCCAGATAAATCTTGCTGTAAGAGTGCTGATGCCTGAGATAATGGGGCATCCAGGGTTTCCAGGTTTATGGATCTTGGATAGCAGATAGAATACCCCTGGTTGGGGCTCTGGGGGTGTGTCCGTGTAGATTTGTTCCTGTGC